TAAAAACCAACAAAAGATGACCAAAACAAAGGGAAGAAAATAAACTTTGAGAGTAAACTGTTAAGTAATATAAAAACAGATAATAAGAACTTCTGTAAATATATAAAAAGGGAGAGAGAGGCCAGAGTGAACATAGGCCCTTTAGCAAATGAGACTGTGGAAATAATGATGGGGAACTAGTAAATGGCAGAGGAGTTGAATAAATACTTTGTACCAGTCTTCACAGTAGAAGACACTAATAACATTTCAGAAATACTAAATAATTAAGGAATAGAAGAGGGAGAGGTAATAAATACAATAACTAGCACTTGATAAAAGTTCTATGAAAACTGATGGGACTAAAGATCAAGAAGTCCCATGGACATCCTAGGAAATTAAAGAAAAAGCTAAGAGATATTGGATGCTCGAGTAGTAGTTTTTCAAGAATCCTTAGATTCTGGAAAAGTCCCTGAGGATTGGAGAACAACCAGTGTAACAGCTTTATTTGAAAAGGAAGGAGAAAAAAAAAAGTAAACTATAGACCAGTTAGTTGAACATCTGCCATTAGGAAATATTAGGGTCTGTCATTAAGGATATATTAACAGTGCATTTAGGAATAAATATAATCAAGCATGGCTTCATGGTTTCATTGTTTGAGGAGGTGACAAACAGGAAAGGTAAAGGGAGCAAGTCATAGAAGACAGAGGGTAGCAGTGGAAGGGTGCATTTCTGAATGGAGGGCTGTGACTAGTTGCATTCTTTTGGGATCAGTGTTTGGACCTTTGTTATTTGTAATATATATAAATGATTTGGAGGAAAATGTAACTGGTTTGATTAGTAAGTTTGCTGATGAGACAAAGGTTGGTGGAATTGCAGAAAGCAATGAGGACCGTCAAAGGATACAGTTGGATACAGATCGGTTGGTAACTTGGGCAGAGAGATGGCAGATGGAGTTTAATCCAGACAAATGTGAGGTAATGCATTTCGGAAGGTCTAATCTAGATGGAAAATATACAGTAAATAGCAGAACTCTTAAGAGTACTGATAGGCAGAGGGATCTGGGTGTACAGGTAGACAGGTCACTGAAAGTGGCGACGCAGATGGAGAAGGTCATCAACAAGGCATATGGCATGCTTGCCTTCATCAGCCGGGGCATTGAGTTTAAATATTGGCAGGTAATGTTGCAGCTTTATAGAACCTTAGTTAGGCTGCATTTGGAATATTGTGTTCAATTCTGGTCGCCACATTACCAGAAGGTGGCTTTGGAGAGGGTACAGAAAAGATTTACCAGGATGTTGCCTGGTATGGGGGGCATTAGCTATGAGGAGAGGTTGGAGAATCTTGGGTTGTTCTCACTGGAACAACAGAGGTTGAGGGGCAACCTGATAGAGGTCTACTAGATTATGAAGGGTATGGACAGAGTGGACAGTGAGAAGCTTTTTCCCAGGGTGGAAGAGTCAGTTACCGGGGCCATAGGTTTAAGGTGCGAGGGGCAAGGTTTAAAAGTGATGTACGAGGCACGTTTTTTACAGAGGGTGGTGGGTGCCTGGAACTCACTGCCAGGGGAGGTAGTGGAAGCAGATATGATAGTGACTTTTAAAGGGCTTCTTGACAAATACATGAATAGGATGGGAATAGTGGGATATGGTCCCTGGGCAGGTAGTTGTGATGGGCAGCATGTCGGTGCAGGTTTGGGGGCCCAGTTCCTGTGCTATATTTTTCTTTGTTCTTTGTTTTAAGTAGACATAACATGTTTGGATTTCCAAAAGGCATTTGAAAAGGTGCCACACATTAGGCTATCGAATAAGATAAGAGCACGTGATGTTGGAGGTAACATATTAACATGGCTAGAGGATTGGTTAACTAATAGAAAACTGAGAGTTGTGATAACGGCAGTATTTTCAGGATGGCAACCTGTAACTCATGATTTGGTACTGGGACCGCAATTATTTGCAATATATCTCAATGACTTAGATGAGTAAAGTAAATGTACTACAGCTAAGTGAGACACAAAAACAGTTAGGAAGGGATAGTAGGAACTGCAGATGCTGGAGAATCTGAGACAACAAGGTGTAGAGCTGGATGAACACAGCAGGCCAAGCAGCATTCAGAAAATGCATTTCTGAAGAAGGGTCGAGGCCCGAAACGTCAGCCTTCCTGCTCCTCTGATGCTGCTTGGCCTGCTGTGTTCATCCAGCTCCACACCTTGTTATCTCAGTATTCATGTAAGGCCTGGTCTGTTCTAACATTATACTGTCATCACTCGTGGGATGTGGGGGTCACTGGCTGGACCAGCATTTCTTGCCCATCCCTAGTTGCCCTCGAGAAGTTGGTAGTGAGCTGCCTTCTTCAGCCACTGCAGTCCATGTGCTGTGGGTGACCCACATCACCCTGAGGGAAGAAATTCCATGATTTTGACTCAGCAAAAGTGAAGGAACGGTGATATATTTCCAAGTCAGGATGGTGAGTGGCTTGGAGGGGATCTTGAAGGTGGTGGTGTTCCCATGTATATGCTGCCCCTGTCCTTCTAGATGGAAGTGGTCGTAGGTTTGGAATGTCCTCTATGCAGATTTTTGGTGAGTTTCTGTGGTACATTTTGTAGACAGTACACACTGCTGCGACTGAGCGTGAGTGGTGGAGGGAGTGGATGTTTGTGGATGTAGTGCCGATCAAGCGGGCTGCTTTGTCCTGGATGGTGTCAGGCTTCTTGAGTGTTGTTGGGCTGCACTCATGCAGGCGAGGGGGGAGTATTCCATCACGCTCCTAACTGAACAGTCTTTGGGGAGACAGGAGGTGAGTTACTCGCTGCAGTATTCCTAGGCTCTGATCTGCTCTTGTTGACACAAAATTTATATGGCTAGCCCAGTTCATTTCTGGTCAATGGTACCCCCCCAGTGTGGATATTGATACTGGGGGATTATGCCTCCTCAGTCTGTCTTGAAATCATCTTTTAATTCCACAAATGCACAGGATTCTGTGAACTTCATTGCTGAGACCACATATTGACCAGTAGACTGTTTTTCCCTTCACATTGAACGTCTGCCGTTCATCAGTGACATTCACCTGGGTGTCAAAGTGGGATTTCAAGGCTTTTGAATTTTCTGCAGTTTCTGTTTTCTGCTCGTCAGCAAAGTTTATGGTGATCACAGTCTGAAATAGTCCCTTTCTGATCACAACAAGAGTGTAGCAGTGTGTTGCTGCTCTGGCTTGTTAAACAAACATTAGCTTATAATTTTGCCATTGTGCATGGGGAGATTGCCAGTTTGCTTCATCTCGCCATGGAACTGGGAGGGGAAAATCTGTAGCCATTGTATCTCACACAGTGTTTCAACTTTGGGCAGTTACTTTCGTTCCATTTCAGTGTGATTCAGTTGCCCGTTGATCCTTGACAGCTGAGAACATTGCTGTGTCTCTCTGTTAGTAGCTGTGCATTTTTTTTACAGCTCATCAGTACTCAGTGCCAGCTTCACTTCTGACACCATGCTCTGAGATCAGCAGATAGCAGTTCATTGTGAATGGAATAGTGTCATAGAGCCAAACAGCATGGAAACAGACCCTTTGGACCAAATTGTCCATGCTGACCAGGTGTTTTAAAATAAACTAGTCCCACCTGCTTGCATTTGGCCCGTATCCCTCCACAACTTTCCTATCCATGTACCTGACCAAATGTCTTTTAAAAGTTTGATTGTACCTGACTTTACCACTTTCTCTGGCAGCTTGTTCCATGTACACACCACTATGGGTACGAAAAAGTTGCCCCTCAGGTCTCTTTTAAACCTTTCTGCTTTCACCTTAAACCTACGCCCTCCAATTTTGGACTCCCCTATCCTGGGGAAAAGACCTTGGCTATTCCCCTTATGTATGCCCCTGGTGATTTTCTAAACCTCTGTAAGGTCACCTTTCAACCTCCAACGCTTCAGGGAAAAATGTCCCAGCCTATCCAGCCACTCCGTATAATTGAAACCCTCCAGTGCCGGCAGCATCGTTGTAAAGCTTTTCTGTACACTTTGTAGTTTAATAATATCCTTCCTGTTGAAGTGCTGTTAAGGTGGTTGTCTGCAGCATGAGTACCTCATAGAAGCACTCAGGAGCCTCACAGCAAGCGAAGAAAGACATGTTGCACTTGATTGTACTTTAATCCAAATCCCATCTTGAAGCCAAGTTTCTAGATTATATTCCCAAACGGCTATTCATCCTTGTAACTCACGGACCTTATTGACTGCACTGTGATTTTGTATTTGTGCTTTATAAACCTGTTGTTGTATTCGTCATAGTCCCTGTTTACGTGGTGCTGTCTCAAATGGAACTATCTATCCCCTTCTCCAGTGCTAAGCAACACTCTCCCTTTATTCAGCAACATCCTTTCAGTTTCGAAAAGGTGGTGCCCATTTTCAGCTGCCAATAAACAGCACCTGGATGGAGGGGCAAGCTAAAGCTGGCGAGTGTGCTGTGCGAGTATGTAAGTGGGTGAGCGTGTGCGGGTGTATTAGTGCGAGCTGTGTTAAGAGAGGGCGGATGAGTTGCAGATGCGAGTTGCTGTGTAATGTCGTGATCTTGTGTGTATAATAGAGACCTTGCTGGGTTGGTGGGGAGGAATAGCAGCACATGGAAACAAGGTTGTGGCATTTGTAAAAGTTGTTTGTGAACACACAAGAAAACATATGTTCAGAAAGCATGTGGACACGTGGAAAAAGACCCCATGGTGGTCTGTGAGCAGAATTGGCCACAGTAGTCGGGAGAAAAAGCTGCCTCCCGAGGGTGGGCACTGTCAGTGATGAGGGAGCAGATATTTGGAGTGAATGAGTGAGGGAGGGGGTGAATGAGTGAGTGGGTGAGGTAGTATCTGGTGCAAGAAGGGCAGTTTTGAAGATATACGTGAGACAATGTAGAACGCTGAAACCAGTAGCGCGATTTATCCCGTGACTTATTGAGAGAATTTGTTAATGGAGGGGGATGATGGATTTTTGGAATTGTGAGGCTGGCAGGATGATGGAGTTAAGGCCAGAATGCAATGAGCCACGATGGTGTTGAATGTGTTTGTGGTGTCTGATTTGTGAGAGTGTGTTGTTATGGGCAGTGTTAGAGTTGTAGTTTGTGTCTGTGAGAGCAGAGAGAAGGAGAATAGGTTGGAGAGCAAAAGGAAAGGAATAGTGCGATATAAATTTGTGGCTCCAGTTAAATGGTGTAAAGCACAGAAGAGAATGAAAACTGGGGTATGTGTCTACAAGGAGTCAGAAATGCAGGTAGTAATTGCCTACTGCCATACTAGTCTGAAAACGCCCGATCTCGTCTGATCTCGGAAGCTAAGCAGACTCAGGCCTGGTTAGTACTTGGATGGGAGACTGCCTGGGAATACCAGGTGCAGTAGGCTTTTGCAGCCACCAGAGGCTGCCCGCAGCTCTGCACTTTCACACTCCCATTCATCAAGCAACGTCCTTTTAACTGCTTGCTCATTCGCTCCGTCTGCCTGTTTCTTTCACTTTTGCTTTCTGTAGTTAAAGCTGTGCTATCCCTACAATAGCTTGTTCTCCTTTGCATGATGTCCTCTGCTGTATTTGCATTCTGTCCTTTTCTTCATGATTATTGTGTCCTTTGTGCCTGGACTATCTCACATGACTCCTCAGATGCTGAAGCAGTGCTGCACAAGTACAACGGCATGTAGAACAGTATCCAGACTTGGGCTGACAAGTGACAAGTAACATTGGCACCACACAATTGCCAGGAAATGATCATCTCCAATAAGAGACCATCTCACCACCCCACCCCTGACATTGAATGGTATTACCAGCAGTATTCATGTAAGAGATAGTAGGAACTGCAGATGCTGGAGAATCTGAGATAACAAGGTGTAGAGCTGGATGAACACAGCAGGCCAAGCAACATCAGAGGAGCAGGAAGGCTGACGTTTCGGGCCTGGACCCTTCTTCAGAAATGCATTTCTGGAAGGGACTGTCTTATGGGAAGAACAATGTTCCCTCTAAGATGTATGGTTGCACATGTGTGCAGCTGCTGAATGGTTCCACACACCGCGATTGGTGACGGCATACTGAAGACAGCATTCACTTTTGTTCCGGAAGTTGCTGACATGCATGTGTCTCACAGGCCCATGTGACTAGAATAAAAATAAGAGAGAACTCTGAAAGAATAGATTTGACCTGTACTTATTGGAGTTTAGAAGAATGAAGGGTGACCTTATTGGAACATAGCAGATTCTGGGAAGACTCGACAGATTTTGAGAGATTGTTTGCCCTTCTGGAGAGTCTAGGACTGCAGGGCATAGTCTCATAAAAAGGGGTTGCACATTTACGACAGCGATGAGGAGGACTTTCTTCTCTTGGAGGTGGTGAATCCGTGGAATTCTTTACTGCAGAGGGCTGTTAGGCTAGATCATTAAGTATATTCAAGGCCAAACTAGACAGATCAGTTAGGGAATCAAGAGTTTTAGGGAAAAGGCACAAAAGTGAAGTTGAGGATTATCAGATCTGCCAGTGAATGGACTACTCCTGCTGCCTTGTTTTATATTTATCTCACGTTTTATGCACATGGTATACATTATAAGTGCTCAAATCTAATTTTGATCATGCTAAAGATGTGGAAAAAGGTAAAGATTTGAGAATTCAAGGTTGAAAAGTTTACATTTTACTTCTAATAATGTTTTCTATTGTTTCAGAAGATCTCGTGTCAGTGGTCCTCGAAAACAGAAGGAATTACCCACAGAACCTCCTTTCACAGCCTATATAGGAAATTTACCTTTTAATACTGTGCAGGGAGACATTGATGCCATCTTTAAGGAGCTAAACGTAAGGAGTGTTCGACTAGTCAGAGACAAAGAAACAGACAAGTTCAAAGGTATAGTACAAAACAAGTTTTGGCTTTTATTTTTATGTGAACTTGTTTCATAGACTTGTGATTTAGCTATCCCCTTTTAAAGATGCATAGTCTTCAACTTGCACTTGTTTTATAACTTATAGCCTACGCAGATAACTTACAATCAATCTTGATGGACATTACAAGCATTTTTTAATTCTCTTAGTCCACAAAATAAAAAGCTTTGATTGCAATTTTTTGCAATTGAAAGCAAAATCATTACATTTTCAATGTTGGTGAAGTCCCTGGTTCTAAAAATCAAATAATTGTTATACTATTAAAATGTTATTATTGCCCCAATTTTGCTGCTACACTACCATAATCAGATTCAAGTATAGTGATTTGAAGTTCATCTCTCTGCTACTTTAGAGCACACTTTAATCCATTTACTTAAACTTCTAGTTAAATATTGCAAGCGTTTTTACACTTCTTTTCCACGAGCTTCTAGGAGAATTATTTTTCTGTCTCTGCTTTGGTTATGATATAAGTTCTGATAGCACACATTTGCAGTCAGTATTCATGTACTAAAAAACAAAAACAGAAGTTGCTGGAAAAGCTCAGCCAGTCTGGCAGCATCTGTGAAGAGAAATCAGAGTTAATGTTTTGCGTCCAGTGACCCTTCCTCAGAACCATTTCAAGGAGGAGTCACCGGACCCGAAACGTTAACTCTGATTTCTCTTCACAGATGCTGCCAGACCTGCTAAGCCTTTCCAGCAACTTCTGTTTTTGTTTCTGATTTACAGCATCTGCACTTCTTTTGATTCTTATTCATGTACTAAGACTTGGAAATTCTGCTCACACTAATGGTTAACTCTTGGAATAATCAAATCAAATCCTGTTCACATCTGGGACTGAATTTCTGGGTCCTATTGAATTTATTGATGGAGGAGGATGGGGCCAGACTATGCCGTTTGCTCACTGGTCTGGTTTCCTTACCCCATTCTTGGCACCTGCCGTTTTCATCAAAGCAATTTGCCACACAATTTGCTCCCACAAGGCAAGCAGCCAAGTATCCCAACTGGGATCTTCTAGTCAGCCTCCTGTTTCTCAACATGACAGGGGACAGAAGAGTGCCTGGAGGCAGGCTCCCAGCTGGGACCGACCCTCTGGCAGCATCTTCAGGCCCTCCGTGTAGAGAGATTCTCTTCCCCCTTATCCCCACATTGATCATTTAGCTACCGAATGTATTTTTATTTGAAGTTTTCAAAATGTTGGCAAAAAGGCCTCCCTATGAAGAGCCCTTATTATAACTTAAATTTTACTGTAGCCTGTTGGGTTTCCCAAGCTGGAAGTCCTCTGTCTCTGCAGCCTCAAGAACCTGTCTGCTGCCCTTAATTAGAACCAGAAATCTGCTCCATTTGAGGAACTCCCAAAACATAACTGTTTTCCTCCAGGAACAAATGAGGAATGAAGAAACAGTCCTGGTTTCCCTGCATTTGAGGGATAATCCTGCCCCTGATGTCTGCATTTCCAGCAGCACTCACTGATTAGCAACAATCAACACTGAGGCCACGGTCAGCTCCATTGCTTTTACCACCATTACAGCAGAAAAGCAGCTTACCACAAACCAGAGATCAGTTTATGGGCCTAGCTCCCTGGTCCATTTAGTTCAATTTCTAAATAGAACACTCACTGAGTCTTTAGGGAAACTGATCATAGAATTTTAAGGTAGTCCAATATAAGCACTACAACGGTCAGCTAAACCATTGAGATATAAAGCTGGAAAGATCCTAATTCACATTTCTAGTTTTAACTGAGACAGATGATCTCAGTTGTGAAAATAGGCATACTGATAATGGCCTTAACCTCACCGAGGGATGATTAAAAATAATTAGCATTGCTATCACATTATGCCTGACATGGACAGTACACATATGGATGACAGCCTTGATACCTCCAATAGGGGAATAAGTTACCAACTTTAAGCAAAAGTGAAATTTATTTTGTCTAACCTCAGTGATTCTAACTCATGAAATAATGTAGATTTAGTGTTATAGCAATTGTGTTTGCATACATGCTTATGCTGGCAATCAATACAGTGTGTAAATTGAATTTAAACTTTTTTTTAGGTTTTTGTTATGTAGAATTTGATGACCTGGAGTCTCTTAAAGAAGCATTGACATATGATGGAGCAGTAAGTATGTTCAGTAACAATCGACAAAATATTATCAAATTGCTGTGAACGGATTCTAAATTAATAATGATGTCTAATAATCTGGAATGACTGTTAGTCTTCATGATAGTGACCATGACAACTTTCATTGATTGTCATGAAAATACATCTTGTTAGGTCATGTTCCTCAGGAAGGAAACCTGTCATATGTAACCGATTTGATGTATATGTGGCCCCAGACCCACAGCAATGTGGTTGACTGTTGCCTGCCCATTGAGATGGCCTGGTTATTCATTTAGTTCAAGAGTAGTAGGAAAGGGCCAAAAATGTTTGCCTTGCTAATGATGCTCACATCCTACAAAAGAGTGAAGAAAGAAAAGAAAACCATAATGTAAGCATAACTTATTTGAGAATGTTGATGTGTCATTTTTAACTGGACGATGTGTAATCATTTTGTACAGTAGATAGATTTTAAAATGAGAGGCAGATGCTGGCCTCATGAATCATTTCAGAGCTTGACTCTAGCTTCTAATGGAAAGTGACTTCCTTCAGCAGGATGTTGGGCTAACTCCAGACTTTTGAGAACATTTTTTTTGGGGTACATTTATTATTTATTTGATGTTAGAATAAAATTTGTGTCATGCTGACTAAACATGTCATTTAAATTATGAGCATTCAACCTGTCGTAAGTAATAGTGTATAATAATATAATCATGTATAATGGTCTGACATTGCAATTGGTAGCTCCCTTCATTTGGATTCTGTGGCTGCCAGTTAGGGTGCAAAATTGTGTCTATGATGTGCTTTTGGGTGATTTCAGGACATCTTATGGTGACAACAGTGGTGGTGCTCAGTGAATGGCTGCCAGAAATATGCGGTGTAAACAGCTCACACAGCTGATTTGACATTAGCAGGGTTTTTTGAAACTCATAGCTCTATTTAACACGTACTCTTCTCTTCACATGGCTGAAGAAGGGACCAATCCCTTTAACTGGTCAGAAGAGATTCTTCTTTTTCTATGTTTATTCAGCATCCATTGGTTGTTAATTTTCTTTTCTTTTTCCATGCTAGAACAGTTTATTTTTCTGGTATTTCAACTGTGAAGGTGAATAACTGTGACAATCAAGATCTGAAAGGATCAGCGCTGGGACTTCAGCTATTTACAGTCTATATTAATGATATAGGCAGGGCTCAACACTGCCTGGGACTTGTGTGAGTCGGGTGGGGGCATGGGGGTGATGTATATTAATGAATTGAAAATACACAGAGTAATATATCCAAGTTTGTTGATGATACAAAGCTAGGTGTGAAATTATGATATATTGAATGATGGAAAACTGTACTTCTACTTTTATGTTGTATGTCCATTCAGACTTGTGAAAGAATCTGAGACATCAGCCATTATGTGCAGTATGGTTGGGTTTACAGGATTCTGATGGAGGTAGCAACCATTTCCATGTTGGAAAGAATGGGTTCCAAGTTCTGTAAAAAGTCCTGTAGAAAGTTAGTGCTTGACTTCTCCTTGTTCCTTGACAACAGGCTTCTTAATACACTAAGTTGCCGTAGTCACACTCCACCATTAGAGAGAGACAATCGGTGGTGAGTTTAACCTGAGGGTTACCACACCTCAAGTAAGGTGTGAGGTCAAGAAGGTGGACCTTCATGCTGACCTCAGCCAGTATGGCAATTGAATCCCCACTGTTGGCATCACTCTACATCACAAACCAACTGTCTAGTCAACTGAGCTAACTGACTCCCCAAAAGTTTAATTCCAAATCAACCAAGATTACTATGAAAGTCCCACCATCTCAACTTTGCTCTTTGCATGAGGTGTGGTGATCCTCAGGTTAAACCACCACCACTCTTCTCTCTGTAATGAGAGAGCAGCACTATTGTCCTCTGGGACTATGGCAACTCCACCTTTTTTAATTCACCATGTATGTTATTGTGTGTACCTATTTGTCGTTTCTCTCAAATTTCATTTCCTCAATGAAATGCTCACTGAGTCCTCTGCAACAAAGCACTGCATATAGGAGTTGGGATATCTTGTTGAGCTGTACAACACATTGGTGAGGCCATATTTGAAATACTGTGAGCAATTCTGGTCACCCTACTCTCGAGAGGATATTATTAAACTAGAAAGAGCGCAGAAAAGATTTTCTAGGATGCTACCTGAACTGGAAGGTTTGAGTTATAAGGAGAGGTTGGATAGCTGGGACTTTTTTTCCTGGAGCTTAGGAGACTGAGGGGTGTCCTTATAGAGGCATAGATAAGGTAGATGGCCAACAGCTTTTCCCCATGGCAGGGGAGTCTAAAACTAAAGGGCATAGGTTTAAGGTGAGAGGGAAGAGACACAAAAGGGTCTAGAGAGGGAACTTTTTTCACACAGAATGTAGTGAGTGTATGGAACGGGCTGCCAGAGGCAGTGGAGGCAACTAAATTTCGTCATTTAAGAAACATTTAGCCAGGTGCATGGATGGAATATGGACTAAACGCAGGCAAATGGGACTAATTTAATTGTGAAAACTGGGCAGCATTGACAAGCTGGGCCGAGGGGCCTGTTTCCATGCTGTAAATCTCTCTGACTCTTTGACTCTATAATTATAGAATCATAGAATCCCTACTGGCCATTTGGCCCATTGAGTCCATAATCATTAGGACAGTGGGATGCTGGCTGAAAGATAAATTCCTAGCTATGTTCTAATCAAGTCACCATTGGAATTTACTAGCCAAAACCACATTTGGGTAACTAGGTAGTTAGAGAGAAAATGTCATTTGACTAACCAGCCTTTTGTGTGTTTGAGCACCTGCTTTCTCTGCAGAATAGGGCAAGCAACTGAAATGCTGAAGGAGCAAGACGTTCAGTGGATTCTTTTCTTTTCGTTCTCTCACTCTCAACTTAACTTGCAAGTTTTTGAATGGTATCTGTTGATTTTGACTAACCAGGAGCAGTTGAGAGATATTTTAGAAAGGACTTAAGCCAGCACTGCTTTCTCCAGAAGAATAAATAAATCATCTGTCTACATCTTCAGAGCACCTTGATGCCAAAAGCAAAAGGATCTCCAAATTTAACCTGAAAAACAGCCAATAAATCAGCTTTCTTACTGTACCCTAAATTACCTTATCTATCCTTCTCACCCTGTAATCTGACTGTGTATATGTTTGAGGAATTGAGATCCTTTTTATTAATTCACTTAGACAGGTTGCAAACAAATAAAAACAGTCATCTTTACTTTTTAAGCACTCAAGGACACCTGTCTTTTATGGTCACAGCATATAAACAGTTAAATAATCATAGAACTTGCAAGTGTAAGATTTTAAAAGTAAAACCAGTTGCTGTCAAATGTGGAGAGGAAATAGACAGGAGTCACCCTCCTGACCTGATAGTAACACTATAAGGAACCTAAATTAATATTTGCCAAGAATGGGATGCACATTTGGCCCTTCTGTTCGATAGTCCATTTATGAATTTGCTTTGTTTTGTGAATTTCTGATTTATTATTGTTAAAGTTTTTACTTTCAAGTGTGAAAAGATCATCATTCTTGAAGTTTGCTCCAGATATCATAGATCGTTTATAAGCAGTATGCTTAAAAGACTTTTGTGAACAGAACAAGATTAACAAGGACATTTCCCGGGAAGCAAACCTCACTTCTACTAACGTTTTGTGGTATTTATTCAGAAAGTGACCTGAGAGCAATTTGCATTATATTAAAAACAAGCAACAGTTAGAAATGATGTGAGAACGATTTAGCAATCAGAACACAGAGCATCTTTCGTACCCTGTGTCCAGATTCAGTCTTTAGAACATGGGATAGATAAATATATTCCCACTGGGAAACCCAAACGTACAATCATATAAATTAGGTGGAGAAGAAGGCCGTTTGGCCCCTTGATCCTCCTCTGCAATTCATTGAGAATACGGCTGATTCATTTATGATTCAATTTCCATATTTGCATCCACTCCCAATAACATTTGCTTCCACATCGAGCAAAAATCTACTCTGTATCTTGGGTTGCCTGAAATGAACAAAAATTTAAAGGCAAATTAAACTGACATTTAACACAGTGTACTAGCCACCTACTTTGTAATCTTTGACCCTTCTGTAATATTGACAAGCAAGTTTCAATGGAAGGTGGACCAGAACTGAAGAAGTCCATTAACTATGATGTAAGTTTGATCTGATGGAATTTAAGTTGACTGTGATTAAACTAATTAAAAGGTTGATGCCAGAGAAGAAACATATTCACTCTTTTCCCACAGCTTCTTGGTGATCGATCTCTTCGGGTTGACATAGCAGAAGGCAGAAAGCAAGAGAAGGGTGGTTTTGGCTTCAGAAAATCAGATGACAGAGGAGGTGAGAAACTTGTTCCCTCCTGTATGTTGATAAATTTTGAGGTTCCTTGAGTTTCTCCATGTAGATGTACTGCAAAACGAACATTACTATGTTCGAATGTGACAGTGTGAATTGGTTTGCCGTATTGTCGACTTCTTAATTTTAGCTGAGTCAGGTGCCAGCTTTTAAAATGTTCAAATTATTTCCCATGTTATGAGCCAAGCCAATAGGACAGGTACTGACTTATGTCACAGTTTGTTTTTACAATTTGTACAGATGAGTATTTTGCCCATTTTCCTTCAGTCTTTCTCTGAAACTACAATGAGTTGCAGATTTATTTTTGGTTTCTTTACTTACTGAAGCAATTGATGCTTGTCAGCCTGATGTATTTATAATTCTTGAAAGGAAGAAATTCATAGATTTGCCTTGGGAGAATATTTGAAAAGTATTTCTTATCCAAAGATCCTGTCCAAAGCTCACACCAAATTCAATGGGAAAGATAGAAGAAAGGCTTACATTTCTGTTACGAAATACCATCCTCAGAACATCTCAAGCTGTCCCTCAACTGCTGACCTATTTTTGAAGTTGTTACATTGCTATGTAGGCAAACATGGCAGCTAATATGCATAGCAAGGTCTTGCAAATAATAATGAGATTACTGACCAGTTATTTTTCTTTTGCTTTCTTAGTTCAGGGAGGAATGTTGACCAGAATATCACAATATTTCTATAGAGGTACTGATTCAACAGGTGTGTTGTGAGGGAATGACTACATTCCCCCTAATTTTCTGAGGTCTGTGCATGGCAACGACTTTCTACAGAGCCATACTAATCGGTTTGTAGGACCTGTGGGTGGCTGTATTGCTTAGAGGGAACATTAATTGTGGCACAAGCAATGTGCTGGTTTATTGATTAACAAAGAAACAGGATGCAGAATTTGACAAATTGTTATTTGATTATACGAAACTTCAGCATTGCTTTAAAAAATACATAGTTTGTCTTGCACTCATCAGAACATTTCACAAGAGAAAACCAACATTTATTCTGCATGAGACAAATGTGCTGATTGGTTGACAAGTAGACTGTAAATGATAGAAATAGTGCCATGAAGAATGCAGCCATTCATCCTGAATGATCACTAATTCTGAATTTTCTTATACAGTCGTCTTGTTTCATTTGATTTTAGTAATGTGAAACGTATGATCTCTGAAATCACTACAGAAACAGTTAGGCATTGGGTATCTAAAATGAGTCAAGTTGCCCAAGTATCTATGATGTATTTGAAATTTAGTTTGCACTGTAGGATTAATAGTTCTGAAAGTTGCAGTTTCTAGATATCAACTGATCTTTGAGTGGAGGGAAGAAAGCTTCTTGAACATGATCCTAATTTTAAGGCAATGCTCACTGCTTGAAGATTCTGTTACTAGAGGAAATAGTTTTGCTGTACCTGTCAAATCCCTTTATCCTTTTCCAAATCTTAATAGGATCAAGCCTCAACCTCCTAACCTCGAGGGACTATAAAACCAAGATTATGTAACCTGTCCTCATTTAATGATGTAAGCATTGGTATTCTTTTGATATTCCTTTGGTGAATCTATACTGCAAACTGTCCAAAACTAAACTATCTTTAATGTGGTGAAGTGTAGTGTAATTCATGACGAATTGAATTATATTTACCTTCCTTTTATGTTCTTATTCATTCACAGATGTGGGTGTCACTGGTTAGGCCAGCATTTATTGTCCATCCCTAATTGCCCTTGAGATGGTGGTGAGCTGTTTTCTCTTTGGCCCCCTTGAGATAAAGGACAAAATTTTAATAACCTGTATGATCACTTTGCATATCCACACACTCACTTTAATGCTTTGTGTATCTTGAATTCTTAATTATATGATGTTTTCCTTTGCTGTAAGAAAATAATTCTGATTAATGGTTTCAAAGTGAATGACCTCATACTTTCCATGTTGAACTCCATGTTGCCCAATTTTGCCCATTCGCCTAATCACTCTGTCTTTTTGTAACTTAGTGCTCCTAGCAACACAACTTAGTGACCCTCCTAACCTAGTATCATCTACAAACTTGGATATATAGTTCTGTATTGGAAAAAGGAATGTGTAGACAACTTTGAACTGAGTAGTTGACATAGAGTAACAATTGGGATGGATTTTAACAACCTGAAGTGAACAGGCAGGAATAAATTAATGAAAGGAGAACAGAGGGTGAAACTTTGTAGTGTAGCCCTTCTCACTCAGTAAGAAGTTTAACAAGAAAGGAATCATTATAATAGGTAATGAACTGGAACTGATGGGAGAAGTAAGTGGCAGTGGTAGTGATCACAACATTGTAAGTTTGAAGATTGGAGTTGATGATAAAGTATGTAGGACAAATAATAAGGTAATAAATTAGAAATTTTCAAATTGAGGAAATGATTAGTATTTAAACCAGGAGATAATCTTTTAAAAAACAGAGGGGGGAATTTTAATCTGGCACAACGAACATGGTTTGCCATGGCTTGGGTTTAAAAATCAGGACAAATGACTATGCATCATAAAGCAAACTCCACCCCCCTGTCAATTTTTATGTGAAATTGCAAACATGAGGGTGCTTATAAGTATAGACCTTCAGGAGAAATACGTTGCCTATTGCCAATTAAAGTGATAACTCAATTTTTAATGTTTCATCCATGAATTTCCCTAGATTCTTGAAACTCAGCAATGAAAGCTAGTCGAGAACACAATGGCAGTTGAGGATGCTGAATCAAACTCATGGAAATACTACAATATATAATTTCTAATCATGACTGTTTTCTCAGCTGCTGGTGGGAAAGAGTTTGTTCATTATACTTGTGCTAAGAGGTTACTTTCTATGTTTGTGATTTTTTCTGAATCACATCAGGATTGGTGGCATTTTTGTCTATCTTAGATTGAAACAATGTAAGCGGTATCCACAGCTGCAACCTGCTATTGAGAGAACTGTAGCTGAATGGCAGGAAGAGGAGCAGCAGAATGGCTGGATGGCAGGAGATATTACTATTGACATAGGCTGCAAGGGTGTAATCATCTAATATGATCTGAAGAAATGCCTGAGTCCTCCTTGAATGAGAAAACAAGTGATTGATTAATAGTTAATTGGGTTTGAATTGTTGTATAAATATGAGGAGCTAATAATCAGCAGGAGCTGAGTTTTATGGAGTGTGGCTTACTGAAATGAGGTTCTCACATAAAAGTGTGGACTTGAGTTCTGTTTAAATGGAGTTATCTTTTGGAGTATACTGCTGGTAGCCTGGATTGGATGGATCAAAATGTAAAGTTTGAGGATATGATTACTGTCCTCTTTTCTGAAAATGGACCTTTTTGAAGAATGTAGTTACAATGTAGACCTGGGTTACTTCTTCACCAAAGAGGAAGTAAGATATGACCTTAGTACCTTTGTTACCGTACAGAAGCAAGATAAGGAAAGATTTTTTTGAGATTGTATCCTGATGATTTGAACTCAGGTAAAGGTTTGGAAATGTGGTTGACTTTCACAGATAAAGTTTATCAAATACATGTTCAATTGACTGTTTAAGAGGCATGGTCAGGTTTTGTTAAATTTAGAAAGACTGAGGACAGTACTATAGAAGAATACGTAATAGAATTCAGCAGATTTTATGCAAGATTACAGAAATTTCAATTGGAAATGCCAAATCTCTGCCGAAGTAGTAAGTATGGACAGACTTTGAAAAGAGTGGCCATTCCTTGTAAAATAACCAAAATCGTTTTATTAGTATAAATATAGTGTCCAGTCAGATATCCTTGTTATTGGGTAGACGATCAATGAAGAAACATACACGGGACTGGATATAGAAAATGACATTGTATTTGAAAAATATGTGAATTTTCAATTTACATAATTGGGATACTATCATATTCCTTTAATAGAACATAACCTCTCCACTAAAGAAATTTAAAAAGTGTTGACATTGGGGAGTTGCAATTTAGAAGACAAAATGTCAGTTGTGTTGAAATTACATAGGCAAGTTGCTCATCCATCTTCTAAAAGATTAAACTTTTTGTAAAAGATGCAGGAATAAGGGATGGGGTGTACTATTAGTTCATAGAAGAAATAAGTGATAGATGTAAGATTTGTAAAAAAACTTCAAAGGACACTGTAATGACCATTAGTATGTCTGCCTTTAGCAAGAGGTTGAGATACTGGCTGTGGATTTTAAGGTATGAGATAAAGAAAAAAGCATTTTCTAATTATATTTTGTAGATTCGGCAATTAGATTTTATCCATCAACAGTAATACTCAGAAAAGATAAGAAAATAATTGTGGATAATGTAGTGAAAAAGGGATAGAGTTTGGACCTGGACTACTGGCAAAATGTCTCACTGATAATAGCAGCAGGTGTTTACTAATGATGACTTCAGAGATGTGTGTACAAGTATGAACATTATAGTTATAGGGACTGCAGCAGAAAGCCGTTTTATCAATGAAATATGTAAAAGGAAATGGTTCATGACATTTTGGCAGATAAGCTAAATTGTAAGCTATAGTCTGCACTAAGAATTCATTACAGATGGTGGGAAAATATAGTCCATATTGTAGTGATTGTAATGAGGTCAGCCAACTGGACATCATAGAATATGAGTTCCCTGATTGGACCAAATTAGCAACCCCCAATCAGGGAGCCCTCGCTGACAGATAAAAAGAGGAGTATCAGTAATCTCAGAGCTGACTCTGAGAGGCAGTACTAGAGTCAAGGACTTTCCATGTGAAAATAAAGGGTGACTTGGTGACAGGATACCGGCCTCTGTGGAGTTATTTCAGTGGCAATGAGAGTGAGATTAATGATGTAACAAAGCAAAATGCGTAGTTGATGCCCAACTGGACTTCAAACAGGCGCTACAACCTATTTTAACGTTGGAAAATGTGGCAATTAGAGCGTATGAGTTACGGAGTATGCGGATGGAAGTGAACACCCTCGCCAGGCCAACTGAGCTTGAGGAACACGACTTGGTTGCAGGCAATTGCAAAGTCTC